TAAACATAATCATAATTAATCATCCGGCAAATGAAAATTATAACCACGAGATGCCTCTTCATACTTGTTAAAATAGCTAACATTAAAAATACAGAGAATTCTGAAGTATTGACTATATGAATATATGAGACTAAAAACATGCTGATTTAGGAGTCAGTAATTATTTATAAATGGTATTGAAATTACAATAAAGATGTTCATGCAACGATATTCGAGAAAGAGAAGAAAAGAGGCTGGAGGTGAAACTCTGTGAAGGTTAAAATTTAAGGGATTTCTGAAAAAAGACAAACTTGTAAAAATGATCAAAATTAACAAATAAAACAGGCAGTTCTGTGGGCCAGAAAGTGAAGAACTGAAATTCTTTTTTATTTTTCTGAGATGGAGTCTTACTATATCCCCCTCGGTAGAGTGCGGTGGTGTCACAGCTCACAGCAACCTCAGATTCTTAGGCTTAAGCAATTCTCCTGCCTCAGCCTCCCAAGTAGCTGCCACGACACCCAGCTATTTTTGTCGCTGCTGTCATGGTTGTTTAGCAGGCCTGGGCTGGGTTTGAACCCACCAGCCTTGGTGTATTTGCTGGTGCCTTCACCACCGAGCTATGGGTGCTGAGCCAAGAACTGAAATTCTTCCACATTGCCAGTCAGGATATAAAGTAGTGGGGCCACATTGGGAACTGTTATAACATACACTTCTCCTTCAGGTAGATCTACTGGTGTTGGGATTTGCTCAAGAAATGTGAAAACATGTTTACAAAATGAGCTGTATGAGAATATTCCTAACAGCTTTATTCCTAAAGCCCAGTAACTGGAAACAACCCAGACGGGAGTGGATCAAGGAACTGATAGATGTTCATACAGTGTAATAGACTCTTAAGCTGTAACATGGATGAATCACCAATGTATTATGTTTAATAAAAAAAAAAAAAAAACAGGCGCAAAAGATTACACAGGGAATGATGTAGTTTACACAGAGCTCCAGAAACGGAAAAATTAGTGTATGTTGAGAGAAATGAGAAAAGTAGGTGGTTGGCAGGAGAATGGAGAGATTGGATTGGGAAAGAGCAGAAAGGCTCTCGGGTGGAGTGGGAATGCTCTATACCCTAATGCAGTCACAGTTACAAGGAATTTCTTTCTTTCTTTGTTGATGACAGAGTCTATGTTGCA